AGAGAAGGAGGAGGGGGGAGGGGGGGGGGGGGGGGGGAGAAAGAAATAACCTGCTTAAATATTTACCAAGTTATTTTCTGTTCACATAATTCTGGTATGTATTGTGTTTTCATAAATCTACCTGTGAAGAAACATACCCACCACAAATTATAAAAGACTTAAATTCTGACTTGGGATTTTGATTACAAAGACAAAGGGTATGTGCTGTACATACTTTCTACATAGAAGCATATATGTAAAACGTGAAATTGGCTGAATGGAAAAATATTCAGGTCCCCTGGGATTCCACATTTCACAGTATTACCACAGATTTAATTACTTTTCATTTATGTAGGATTTGAGGTTTTCACAGCATTCATTGCCCTGATGATGGAGACAGTATGACCTCTGAAATGTTGGTGGAAATCTACCAGACTACACGGCACAATAACCCAGAAGACAGAAATCTTTACTTTTTATTTTCTTGTAAAATTACACTACTGAGTTTTTAAGAATGAGATCCCTTATACATTTTTTTTTCTCCAGGAATAGCATCTCAACAGACATGGAAAACAAAATTAACCACTGTGATGATACACAGAACATTAGCTTCATAAGTACCAACAGTCTGAAATTAACAATATATATTTCAAAATAGTCATTCCAGAAGTATGTTGCTTCACTGACTAAACCAAACTTCAGAAAGCAGAGTTCTTCTTGAGAAGTTAATATAGCATTCTCAGCTAGTTATATACAATGACTTTTATGGAACCTGAATGTTCATTACAGTCTTCACGAAAATCCACCACCAGTCCCTACCTGAGTCAGATGAACATAATCTACATCCTCCTACCCTATTTCTCTAAGTTTCATTTTAATATTACCCTCCCATCTATGCACAGAATTTATGTATGGTCTCTTCCCTATAGGCCATCAAACCAAAACTTTGTATGCATTTTTTGTTCTGTATGCATGTGTTCAGCTCCCATCATCCTCCTTTTTTGCATTTGGTTATGAGTATACATTATGGAGCTAGTCATTATCCAACTTTCTTAGCCCTCCTGTCACTTTTACCTTATTTTGTTGTCCTGCCCACTATTTTCACTCTAAGAAGTACAGTCCTTTATGAGAAACTAATAGAAACACTTGGTCAAGAAATTCCTCTTTTATGTAAACCATAGGTTCATTACTCTGTTCATAATAGACCACCACAACTCTATCCTGAGCCAGAATAATCCAGTCCACATGCTCATACCCTATTTCTTTATGTTAATATTAACCTCCCACGTATGTTTAGTTCTGGACCAACCTCCTTACTAGTGACTAATAGCATTTATACTTTTATGGTATATATGTTGTTGTACACAGATTAACATAAACATAGACCATAAGTTGATGTGTTTCATTCCAATAAATCCTGATTTGCTTAAACCTACATACCGGTATACTCTAAAGAGAAGCAGAGTGATGAAAACCTGCCTTGTTTCATATTATTTCGAAGATCACGTGTATCAAACACATAATTACCTAGATACATTATACTACCTCTGAAATACATGCCATATTTGTACTGTCATAAATAAATAGCTTTAGGAAGATATTTAATTTCAAACAGAAACATACGCATTCAAAGAAGTAATATACAGCCTGAAGATTTAAGTTTTATTTTAGAAGTTATATCAGAAAAATATAATCCATCTTGTCTATAAGAAAATAAGTATAAAGTGTACTTTATCACATGCTTCATGCTACTATAATGTGAAATAAAGAAGAAATAAATCCTCGTATATGCAGGTGTAAGCAATGAAATACAGTATTTATTCTCTCGCATACAATGAAGGAAAAACAATTGTAAAACATATTATTTCTGTAAGAGTGCAATAAATTAAATTTATATGCCCTAACAGACCCAACAGAAAAGGTATCACCCTCTTCCTTACACCTGAGGAAGAAGACAGATTCTGTCTTTGAAATATTGTGTGTTGTGTTCCGAGTCCAAAATCCCAGTAATCTGGTTAAAACCCTTTAGAATCAATTAAATTTATACTCATCACAAGCTACAAAACAAACTGCAAGCAACAACTCACCTGTGCATCTGTTTCGTCAATGTCTTCATCACTGAGGATGGGCTCATATTGTTCCACAACCATGATGCCAGGCTCATCAGGCGGAATGGGTGAGCCTACAGGTGTGGCCACACTGCTTACTGCAGTAGGTGGAGTAGATGGTGGGCCATGGATAATATTATTTGGACTAGACACAGCTGAAACTTTAGCAGGAGAACCAGCTGCTGGGACAGAATTAGGAAGGGAGGGCGTGATGGATGGTTGGGTCTTCCGCTCTACAGATCCTGGCTTGGTGAGTGGAAATTCATCCTCAGTTTGCTCCAGCTTTATAGCTTGATCAGTGGCTGATAAAACTTCCTCTGACACTCCTGCAACTTCTGTGTTCTTGTCAGCTACCATCAATTCAGAAGTCTCAGTCTTGATTACTGGAAGAGACTCTCCTTCCAAATCTGCCTCCGTCTCTGGGATCTCACCTTCCGAGATGGACTCGACATCACCAGGCGACAGAGACTCAAACTTCTGCTGAGCACCGGATGATGGCGTCGGCGAACTCACTTCTGCAATGGGACCAGCGTAACCTTTTGGCCTAACTACAAATCCTAACTCTAATTTAATCCTAATCCCTTTTACTGCCCTCAATGTATCCTTCCACTTCTTCGCCAGAACATTTTGACTGGTGCCTGTAAATTTGTCAGGAATGATTCCCCCCTCCAAGTAACCTCATATTCACTTCAAAACACCAATTAACAGCTGCCTGTAACACTGTACAAGAAACAAAAACACAAAACTCAAAAGTTGAGACTGATGGCTATTAAACACATCAAATTCACGGATTCTCAATGACTCCCTTCACTACCTTTGTTAAAAATGGTTTATATTTCCACTTGTAACTGACACAGTGATTGCCACTTATGGGACAGAATCCCATAGACTAACACCACGAAGCACTTCAGAGAGAACCTGACGTGTTTTCTTGCAACTTTATGAATGTTAGAAAACTAACAAAAAAATAACAAAAAGAGAACTCAAGGGCTAATGGAACTCACAATGGCACGAATTTAACATCGGACACTGCACTGTCCTCACCACATGTTGCATTTCACCACACAAATAAGCATCAGCTGTGAAATCTTGCTATTATCACTGAACTATGAGTTCAGCCATGATATATATAGATATAACACCATATAATTTCAATGCTGCACCACTTCCAATGTGATGCTCTGTTGACACATTGCACATTAGCATGGAAACACCATATTGCTATGAATATAAATGTGTATTTTAGAAACCCCAAAATAGAACCTTCCCCAAAATATAACCTTCCACCAAAACTGCAGTGAAAGCACACACATCAAACTAACCTGTTGTATCTCCCAGATAGCTATAACCACACAATGGCACTGTGGTTTCAATGTGACTGCACAAATGAGTGTTCAGTCATGCAAATCACATACACTGTTTGACTGAAAAGCAAACCAGTTGCTTCATGCAATGAATTCCTAGAGAAAATCTTACATTCTAGACAATACAGCATATATCATATCTCTAAATGCTTCAATCCACTCCTGTATCATATCACTATATCTAAAAAGGTTTTGGCAGCAAAGTCTAAAGCTCTGTACAAGAAAACACTCAAGTAAAGGCCATCAAAATAGAGTAATTTAAAAACAAAGTTAATTAACAGCCATAAACATCACATATTTACATTCTTTATTTATCCAGTGTTTCCTTATTTTACATTCAATTTTAGAAATCACTACCAAAATTGTTAGATGCTTCATACTTAACGCTAATTATCTACTAAGAAATAAAATATATCAACACCTTAAATAGAGTGCCAGGCAGCAGATCTTTCTTTGTGAGAAGGGCCTCCTAGAAAAGCTCAAGATGTGCTGTCTGGCTAGAAGCATATCTGTATGCACAAATTCACCAATGTTAGACAGATACCTGTAGGTGGAGGCCAACCCTATCTGCCTCTGTCTCTATGTCTGTGTCTATGAGTCTCAATCCAGGCACATGGACGGTCGTCAGGCACATGAAGCCACCGAGACATGAGTCTCCTGCCCTCAACTCGAAGACACAACATTCGGCCTCTGTCTGATTCAAAAACACCGACGATCAAGTCAACAACAAAGAATGTACCTTTCTTCACTTTGATGCCCTCACTTCTGCTCGGCGATGCTGAAGATGGCCACCTTGGTGCCATCTGCTGCTGAGGAAGCTTGTCTTCTGGTGTGATGGGGCCACCTGGTGGCTGTTGAGGGGGAGGAGTGTGAGGCCTCTTTGGAGAACGCAGTGCTATGCCAGATGCAGGTGAAGGTTGTGAAGGAGGTGATCGTGGCCTCTTCCTGCCCGGAATCACCTCATCACGTTCCTGAGACATTTCACGACCAGGACCAAGTTCCCAGGGTTGCTCTGGAGTCTGATGAAGCAATGATCCCTGTGGCCCAGGTGGTGGACCCTGGCTCCGCTCCCATGAACCATCACGTGGTTTGCGTTCGCCACGGGAATGTGGCCTGGCCATCTCATGGTGATGTGATGGTCCTGGAGGAGGATGAGGATGCATGTGTGAGGGAATCCTATGCAGATTTCCTGGACCTAGGCCTTCATGATGATGGTGAGGGTGATGGTGAGGAGGTGGAACCACATGTTCTGAAGGTATTGGCAGCAACGGAGGGCCTTTGGACTGAGGGTGTTCAGCCCTTTCTGCCCATGGCAATCGTTCCACCGTCAGAGAGGCATGTTCCCTGCGAACCCCACCCCATCCTGTACCACCACCCCCACTACCACTCCCACCACGATCCCAGTCCCGCTCACGAGGCACTTCCTGATATTCACGTGCACTGCTACTACTCCTTTCCCGCTCTCTGTCTCGTTCCCGATCTCTTTCACGTTCCCTATCTTCTCTCCGTGATCTCTCCTCCCAGTCCCTGTCCCTTTCCCTATCAGCCTCTCTGTCCCTACTCCGGTCTCTGTCCCTGCTTCTATCCCGATAGCTGTCTCTGTCCCGATCACGCTCCCTATCGCGATCCCTGTCCCTATCACGTCTATCACGCTCCCTTT